TTGGCTTGTTTTGTCACATTTTTTTATGAAGAAGATGTCCCAGCATATTTGAGATTAAGATTAATCAGTATTTGTGACTGAGAGTCGACCACATCAGTAGGCAACCCTTCATTCGATGGACCCCAAGAATTTTTTATGTTTACTCTAAAATCATCAAACAAAACTTTTAACTCATTTGCATACTGTAGTCCATTATAGCGAAATTACTTTGCATCTAAATTAGCTAGTGATATAAAAATTTAAAAAAGCTCATAAATTGCCTTTTAGTTCTATAAGAATAATTAACATTGAATAAAGCAATACATTTATGTACTTCTCCCATTCTATTGAACTCCAATTTATAATATTCGTTTTTAGATTGTAAGCATTCCTTGTTTTTGATATTATTTTTGACCAAATTTCATATTTTATTCTTAGATATTCCAACTGATTCTTCAATTGTTTTTGGGATAAATCAATATTCTTCTGCTCCTTTAAAGCTACTCTTATACAATCTAGATTATTTCTTTTGATTGCCTCCATTGTTTCCTTTATCAAATAATTTTTTCACACACAAATCTATGAAAATTTTAAGCAATTTTGGATCCTTCCAATTTGTTCTATCACCATCACCATAAAATATCGCTACATAACCATTTTTTAACAAAATATCAAACAAGGTTAGATGTGTATGGTATTGTTTAACACAGTCAAATGATTATCGTGACCTACCGGAATAGTTAAACAAAATAAAAAGAAATTGATGATAATTAAAAGTATTGAAGAACACAAGACAATTAACCTTAATAAATAGTTGCTCATTAACACTCTTCACAAAAAAAAAAAAAGTAAATTGAATAAATAAATAAATAAATAATCTAGCACAAAGAAAGAATTGAAGAATAGACCATACCTGTTGGACCTCATTGACAGACAGTGGAGGCTAGGGAGATTGATTGTTTTGGATAAAAGAACACTTCAAAGTTTTAATATGATTGTGAAATATTTTAGTGAAATTGGGGTTGAGTTCTCGTATATAGACTTATAATGACTTGAGTCTATTCTAGAAACTTATTTGGTGTTAAGTCTGTTTTTTTATCTTACTAATAAGTGATTAAGTCCACTATTTTTTTTAAATCTCAAAAATACCCTTAACAGTTTTATTCTGTTCAATTATAGAAACTTTAAAGATCTTAAAAGTAATTTTAAATTAATTTCTTAAATTAGAAATTATTATCCCATAATTCACTCCAAAATTGAAATCCAAATTCAAATTTTAAATTGATTAGATTCAATAAATACCTTTTCGATTTTACTATTCGAGTTTATTGTGGATTCCATTGACAAAGTTATAGTTGATTCTTGGCATTCAAAACATCTTCACACCTTTCGGATTCAAAAATAAAATTAGTGTATGTGATTTTATGGGGAAAGTTGATGTTCGTTGTATTTCAATAATTTTCAAACAATTGAAATCTCTCCCCTCCTCCAGTGAAATCCCACCCTTCCGTTAACCTCGACAACTTTTTACCCTTCCAGTGAAATCTAAACCCCCCTCCTAATACAGCCCACCCCAAACAAAACTATCCTCTCTTCCCTTAGTTAGTGCTTTGGCAAAGAGAAAGGAAGGAAAATGGAGATAAGTAAAGGCTAAGGGTATAGAAGTAATTTTAAATTTTATGTCTAATTACAGTTAATTGAAATATTAGGGGGTAAATTGTTTAATTTTAAATTAGAGGGACTTAATTGAAATAAGACCCAAAGTTTAACGGGACATTTTGTAATTAACCCTAAGTTCCTAGGCCCAATAAGATTATATAAAAAACCCACTCTCTAATTTTATTTCTTATTAGGTCCCTATTGAAAGGTCAAAGGAATAGATATAAATAACGCTCTTTACAATTACAAAAAAATAACAACAATGACTTCACTTAATTTAAACACATATTCTAAGAAACTATATTATAATATTATACATTTTTCTCTATAAATACAAATTGTAAGACAAATACACACAAATCTTAAGACAAGTACATTAAAAAAAATAGGTACGTAGTTAATATATATATATATATACATACGCACACACACACACACACACCTTTCAGATATAAAATAAAAAGTAGGTAATAAAAAAATATAAAAAATAGTAGGTATACAATAATCGTCAGATAGGTACACTAAAATATAAATCGTTTATGTACATTCTCTTCTATAAACACAGATCGTCAAACATATACACTAAAACATAGATCATGGGTCAACTAAAACAAAAATCGTTAATGTACATTTTTATCACTAAATAGGTACACTAAAAATACATATCGTTAGACAGATACACTAAAACACAAATTGTTAATGTACCTTCTTCTCAATGAACACAGATCATTAGACAGATACACTAAAACATATATCGTCAGACATCATCATAATGTCCAAATAGTTTGGTTCACTAGTTTGAAGTTCAAAACTGATAGACAATACCAAAAAAACATAAATAACAAACGGCAAAAAAAAAAAACTAACTATATTTTAAGCTGAAATCATGTAATGAGAGAAAAATAGGTAAAGAAAATCAGTAACTAACTAGTTCCTTAACATTGTCGCCAACACAGGGACCACTACATTCAAATTTTTTCAAAAACTAGATGACTCTTTTTTTATACTAAAAATTCGATAGGACTAAAATTAGTTTACATACCAAACGAGGAATTCTAGCCTAATTAACTACTAAATCTACCCTCTCAAAAAAGTTCTCATGCACCTTGATCCTCTTAATTATCTTTCCACAAATTACTTAAAAATGTGTTATCGATCTTTATAAAAAAATTTTATTACTACTAATTCAAATTTGTCTTATATTCTAAATTTGCCCCACTACAATATTTTGCTAGCTCAGTCCTTGGGGGGTTCAATTACATGGAAGACAACTCAGAATTGAGTGCATAATTCAAATTATAGACCCACACCAATACACTGTTTAGTGTAAATCACAAATAGCACACATCTTATAGTTGACTCTGAGAAAATCTCGAACTACTTAGCCAAATTATATGACCCATTGTTTCTCGACGCCATGATTTGATCTGCATCTCATCTCATGGTTAATGTAGGCTGTAAATAAATGACATTCAATTTCATAGTCGATACTACAATACTCAATCATGTTGCTACAAAAGGAGAATGTGAACGAAGCTGTGTTGGTTAAGTTCTCTATTCCTCTGGGGTGAATATTGATGGATAAGTTGCTGCTAACATTAGAGGACCATAAACTACTTTTTCGCTCGGGAATTTTTTAGTTAAATAGCAGTTGGGGAACCAGCATATCGACAACTATGAACTACCATTTGCATTTCGCCACCAACTATATTAAATCAAAGATACTAAATTAAAGTCACTGCATAGGTCAATTTGAAATCCATTGTTTAGTTTTCTACAATTGTAGCCTAACTAAAATTAGAAAAGTCTTTTCTTTTTTTTTTTTCTAAACCCTTCATTTGGAGCCTAAAAACATTGTTTCATCTCCTTTTCTCGCATCCACAAATTAACCAGTAAAAACTTGAGATCACCCACTTCTCTCTCTATCTTCAATTCTCTCTCTCTATCTCTCTCTAAACACACGCAATTTCATCAATTCTCATATCTCCTCCAAGGGCCAAAAACAATTCAATTCCCTTTTCTTCAACCTACAGCTCAAATCCAAAAGGTACATTCATCCATACCCCGATATACACAACTGTCATCGAACCGGCTTGAACCATGGTCCGTGCCATGGTCCTGATATGGGCCTGTTCTGTGCTTTTGGCCATGGTCAATCTCGTTGATGGCATAGGTGTGAACTAGGGCACTCAGGCAACACAAAATCTGCACCCAAGTGTGGTGGCTCAAATGCTTAAGGACAATAAGATCAATAAGGTTAAACTGTTTGATTCGGATAATTGGACCGTCAAATACTTTGCCGGAACTGGCATGGAAGTCATGCTTGGTATCCCAAATAGCCAATTGAATCGATTTAGCGACGATTATGACAATGCCAAGGACTGGAAGGACAATGTCACCAAACATTTGCATGATGGTGGTGTCAATATAAAGTGAGTAACCTTCGCTAACAATCATGGTTTAATATAGTGACTGATTTGGTGGTGTCCATCTCGGTACCTTCTGTTTCGAGATGTATACACTTCATGTGTACACCACATCGGCGATGTCTCAGACAACTTGATCTAGTCACGATGTCTCAGAAAACTTCTAGTTGTCCGAGTTAACATCAGCGAATTACAGTGTACCCAATGTACAATGCCGCGCTATGGCCACAATTATTGGTCATATTTGACTTCTTCTTCTATCTATTGCTTCATGCACGTTCTCTGATGCTATGATCGATGCGTCTCAATGCCTTTGAGTCTGCTGCTGATATTGCAAACTCGGCCAAGTTCTCTTGTTTGTAATTATCATTTTTTTTTCCTGATTTCATGCATTTTACAGGTACGTGGCTGTTGGCAATGAGCCATTCTTGAAATCTTACAATGGCTCACATCTGAAAACTACCTTCCCAGCATTAAAAAACATTCAGAAAGCTCTTGATGCAGCTGGTGTTGGAGACAAAATCAAAGCAACCATCCCCCAAAATGCGGATGTCTACGACTCTGGTTCACAAGGCCCATCTGCCGGTGATTTCCGATCGGACATAAGGGACCTTATGATCGATATAGTTCAATTTATCAAAGACAACAATGCCCCATTTGTCGTCAACATATACCCCTTTCTCAGTCTGTACGGCAATCCTGATTTTCCTGTCGAGTTTGCTTTCTTTGACGGTGGTGCAGAACCTGTCAATGACAAAGGTACTCAATACACAAACATGTTTGATGCAAATCTTGATACATTATTTTGGTCACTCAAGAAGGCTGGTGCACCGAACGTGAAGACCATCGTCGGGGAGATCGGATGGCCAATCGGATGGAAATATAAATGCCAATGCCAAAATGGCTAAGAGGTTCTATGATGGATTCTTCAGGAAAATGGCTACAAACAAAGGAACCCCACTTCGCCCGGGGCCAATTGAAGTATATCTGTTTAGTCTAACAGATGAGAATCAAAAAAGTATTGCCCCGGGCGACTTTGAGCGCCACTGGGGCATTTTCAGGTATGACGGACAGCCTAAGTTCCCGACGGACTTCACCGGGAAAGGTCAGGACAAAATGCCAGTTGGAGCAAAAAATGTACAATAACTACCACAGCAGTGGTGCGTGTTAAACAGTGACATAAAGAACATGAGCCTGGTGCCTGAAAATGTTAACTATGCCTGCTCATTGTCCGATTGCACAAGCTTGATATACGGATCAACGTGCAATAAACTGGATGTTCGTGGGAATGTCTCGTACGCATTCAATATGTATTTCCAGATGAATAATCAGGACGTCGAGGCATGCGATTTTCAGGGTCTGGCCAAGATTGTGACTCGAAATGCCTCACAAGGGGACTGCCTCTTCCCTATACAGATTGTAAGTGATGGAAGGAGACTTACCATGGTAACTAGAGTGAGTGTTCTTGCAGGATTGTTGACCTTATTAGCATTGTTTTAGAATGTCATAAGTTTAAGGGAGTTCAATGCAACATGAGATCACTTGATCAAAAGAACTATAGTCTTTCACCAAGTTGACAATAATGGATTATAGCAACTTGAAAAATTTTGTTTTCTTTCGTTTTTCCCCAAGTAATATCATATTTTCCGTGATTTGATTTTTCTCATTGGAGATTCCAACTTGCTCTTTTATCCCAACGCTTCACAGTTCTGATGGTTTCAATTAATCTCAAACTAACAATGCTAATGGTTAGCCTGTTCCATGGTTTTAGTTTATCTTTTCGGTAGTTTCCGCCTCTCCCCCTCCCCCACCCCCCCCCCCCCAAAAAAAAAAAAAAAAAAAACCAACGCCCTTCTGGTAGCCACTCCTCTAATAGTGATGTCACTCAAATTTTTATTTTTTTTTCCTGTTAATGGCAATTTTTCTCCTCAATAAAGAAACTTCAAAAAAAAAAAATACCCTCTTCCCCCTGCTTCTTTCTATTCTTTTATATTGTCTCAACCCTTACTCTTCTCCCTCTGCCTCTTCCTCTCGAAGTACACACTTACAAAAAATCAGAGAAGAGAATATTTTGTGTAGCAACAAAAAAATTGTGACGCCTCAAAATTTGGGGGTCCTATCTCAATTCATTGATCACCCATCAATTGGCGGAAGTATTTGTGAATATTGTATAACTCGACAACATGTCATTACACCCCCTTCATCGGGATCTTAACCAAAAACAAAGAGTGGGTAGAGACTTTCTTATACCGGAGCACCACCCAACACAATTAGTACAGATATTAACCACATGACCATTCCAAGATCTAAATCCCAATAATTAGGACATACTATTATCCATTTACATCATCCATAGAGGATCGTTCGAAAGGTGAATGCCCCTCAGTGTCACATTTTAAAAGTTTCAAGTTTTGGGAGAACCGGTATCTGCCATAAATGGTATCGGTACTTGAGCCTTCTGTTTGCCAGGTACCGATACCTATGTGACTTGGTATTTGCACCTGAGCCCACTATTTGCTATGTACTTATACCTATATGTCTTGGTACTATCCATCGGGGTACCGGTACCATGGTCTAGGTACTAGAACTTGAGCCCATTAAAATCTAGGTACTGACACTTGTAAACTTAGGTACCAATACTTGAGTCGTCCGACAGCGTGGTACTAGTACCTATGAGTCTAGGTATCACTACTAGAGCCAAGTATTCCCAAATTTCCTCCAACTCTTAACCTTTAGCCATCCAACCTCATTTTATATTCATTCAAACTCATACAACATTCATTTACGTCAAATTCATTATCCCAAAGAGGTTCATTACATGTTATTTTACCAAAATTAAAAGTTGAATCACATAATATATTACAAAGATGAAATTTAAGAGTCACAGTCCGGCTCCACCATCGACATGGGCCCAAGTGAGGGCCGTCCACTGGTGCCTATCTAACACCTGAAATATATTCCCATAAAGCATGAGAGTTACGCTCAATGGGTTATCTTCTAAAAAGGTTATTCCCCAACTCAGATGCATATAAAATGTCACATGAAATTCAAAAAATCAAACATCCATTTAAATAAAATGAAACTCATGTCTATAGTGCAAACCCGAACCCTCCACCAACTTTCACAACACATGTCATGACATGCGTATGCGTCTAGGAATTCCAAGCTCCCTCCATTTAGGTTAGACATCTAATAACTGGGTTGAGATGAGAATTTTTCCTTCTCTGATATACTCAAAGACTGGGTCAATTTGGCTAGATGACTCTTGATATCTTCAATATTTTGTTAAGTTTGAACTTTGAAGTCATTAAATGCATGGGTAGTCAGAGTATTGAAACTCATTTGACGCTGAATGAACTGGTTCATGGTGTCCTTTAAACTCCTCTTATGTGGGGGTTGATAAGATTGAGAAAGCTGTTGAGTCTATGGTTGTAGGGAAGGTGGACCTGGTGGCTGGCTCACAGGTTGTGTATTTTTTTAACTGAAATTCGGGTGATTTCGCTACCCTAGATTATAGGTGTCATACTAGGGGTTGGAGTAAGGCTTGCAAAATTTGAAATGACATTGGTTTGTTCCATCAAGACTTCTTTGAATGCTGGAATGTTGGGACATTCTCCCGTACGATGTCTAGACAATGAATAGATTCCACATAACTGCTCAATCGAAGACACACAACAACAAATTTGTTGTGAAAAAGTGATTTTTGGTGGCAATTTTAAATGTTTCTCACAGTAAATTTTTTTATGATATTTTTGGCGATCATTTTTTGTAGTCGTCGCCAATAGTCTTCACAAAAACGTTCCCTCCAAAAAAAAATTGGCGCCAAACATTGGCACTAAATTTTAATTTTATGGGTGACAACAAAAATTGTCCCCAAAATTATTTTTTGGTCACAAAATTTTTGTCAAATAACGAAAAATAAGAAAAAAAAAATACTTAACGACCATACATGTTTGTCGCAGAAAAAAAAAGTTAAAATTATTTTTGTTTGGTGACAAATGATGTTTGGTCACAGAATATGTTAAATGAACTGTGCACTTTGATGGATTAAAACAACGTTGTTTTGGAACCGTCATTTTGGAACCCTAAATTAAACCCTTATCTTCTTCTTCGACAAAGGAATCGGCTAGCCCCCACCTTGTCCCCTTTCTGTTCCCTCTCTGCTATGCCAAACTTTGTGAGTCTCTCTCTCTCTCTCTATATATATATATGTGTGTGTGTGTGTTCTCTCTTTGTATATCGCTCTGTGTGTATATATATTCTCTCTCTCTCTGTATTGCTGTGTTTTTTAGGTATTCTTTAATGTTTCGATTCTTCGATTCTTGTTCTGTAATTTAAAACTAGTGGGTTAGTTTTGGTTTTAGTGATTTTTAGGGAATTTGTCTTACTCCAGAACTTCATTTGTTTTAAGGAATTTGTCTTGCTTCATTTGTTTTAGCTTCCTTTTGGATTTGTTTTGTACTTTAATGGATTCGTTTGCTTGTGGATTCTTTAATGTTTCGTTTATACTTGCTTGTGGATTCATTTTTAACAGAGTAACCAAACAGAGTGTTTAAGCTTTATTTTCTTTTTCTGTGTTTTCCATTAAACCAAACAGAGTGTTTTTCTCTGGAATATTGATTTTTTGCAACTAACTGATGCATTCGTTGTAGGACATTTACCTTCTAATCTGCACTTTCTCATTCTCACATAGCACAAGGCGCTCAGTGTAAGCAAAACTAGGAAGATAGTCTTAGCAATCACTATCCAAATCCGCTTGTTTCATTCACTAGTTTTCTTGTGGTTAGTCTTTACAAATTTTGTTGATGGCCTATCAAGTCAAAAATTTTGTTTTCATTCACAAATTTTGTTGATGAATTTACCATAAGGGTGGTGATTGGAAACCATTGCATGAAATATGTTTAGTGGTTGTGTTGGGTTGGTCTTTTTATCCATGTTGGACTCTACTTAACATTACCATCAATGGCTTTAATAATCTGCTTATTGGTTTCAAAAAAATCTCTCTAGGGGAATTATTGCTTGTTTTTTAGATGGTTATTATGAACGTTGGTATTGCAATTATAAGTTGCTTGGGGCATAAAAAATAGCCAACCTTTTTGAATTGTAGTTTTCTATCAGTCATAGTTGGTATTGGGTGCTAACATTTGATGTTGAAAAACACTACTGACCATAGGCACTTAGTTTACTCAATTAGATCAATGCAATATTTTCCTAAAAAGGTACTTTTAGCCTTTTAGTGCTCTAATTTTGGCAGTTCTTACAATGGCACTCACTTGACGTTTTGTATTGATTCTCTATGTAACTATAATGTGCTTCACCAAACTTGGCATGGACTAGTGCTTTATGTAGTTAGTGAACTGTTGTGAATGAGGTTGTCCAATTCCTTGGCCTTTATTTTTTAGATAAATAATGTCCTGTGTCTCATCTCTCTTTTCTCTTTGTGTGACTATACACTGCTTTGTCTTACTAATACCCTGATACTGGTTTTTCAAATTCACTGAAATGATGTTGCTACACTAGCAATAAGTGAATTCTTCCTCTGTGTGACATGACGATGTAGCTGATGCTATTTATTGAAACCAAGTCATATTATTGTAACGTCAAACCTGATAGCGTATACCAACGTGGAAGAGCTTAAGATGAAAGTAATGTGAGGTGAGCGTGGATTAGAGCTACGAGGCTCGTATATGATGCTAATTGATAAAATATTCAGGGAATTAATGGGGTGCACACAGTAAAAATATAATGGTTCACCGGCTCAGGAGCTCGGGTAGTCCACTCTTCAATGGAGGTTCTCGCTCCTTCTATTTTATTCCCAATGATTACAATGTTGTTATGACTTCTTCTTGCCACTAGGGTCCTCTCTCCTGTTAGGAGGTGTTACAGTGCATTTATAGGGTCATTCCCTGCTAAGTGGGATCCTGGCCGAGATTCTTGCCCTTACTTCGTGGGATTCTCCCTAATTCTAGGAGAAGATCTTGGTTGGTTGAGATTAAGTGCCTTGATTATAGCTTCCTAACGCTTTTAGGAACCTTTCGTGATCTTTCAGTTGTTTCCTTGGTTGTTATTGCCCTTGCTTATCTCGAAGGGACCTCCAGCTTTACTCTTCTGAGTTATGTTCGTCTAGTCTGACCTCCTGGGCTTAGCTGACCGACCTCTTGAGCTGGCATTTGGGATTTATTTTGAAGTATCATCAGTTGCCCCCCCCAGCCCTTGGCCCAAGGGAGCTTGGGCATGGGCTGAGCTGCTTTTACCTTGGACCAGACCTGCGCCTAACTGACCTTAGCCTGTATATGAGATGCATGTGAGAGGGGATTTTTGAAAGTGGCAGCAATCATGGCTCTCTTGGTTCCCATGCACACCTCATCTCATGTCTTTCAAGCCTTAAATGCTCAAAACGGCTAAAAGAAAACGCACAAAACCACCATTCATCTTCTACGCTATTC